AGGAAGTTTGTAGGATAGATTTTATGCTTATTTTAATCGAATTTTGATCGTGGGTGGGTTTTTATAATATTGTATTAATAATATATTTATATGTAGTGCATGTGATAATATGTAATCCACGCAATTCAGCTTCTGGCTGTAATGTGGTTTCAATTTAATAATAATAATAATAATAAAAAAATAATAATAAGCAACTGTAAGTCCAATTTCATTTGAAACGATAGTCATCTAATATGTCAGTGACATAAGTACCTACCGTATAGTACGGAATTATAGTACAGTGCATGAAGTTATTCTTAACGATTAAAGATAATATATTTCTAAAATTAATCCTAGCTGATCAACAATCCAGTATCTCATCGAAGGTTTTCCAAGGGCACCCACCATTCCAAAAGTGGGGGAATGGAGCTCCAACAAGTGAGGAGTGGGACCAGCCCCACCCCTCTGGATTGATGTCCTTGATGTAAGTAGTGAGCACTCACAACAAAAAACTTATAGAAACCTTTGATTCTTTATGAGTTGCTATTCTCAAGTAGACCATGAAAATATTGCGATGAATTTCTTTTTGAAGATTCAAGATCTCATCTGGAAGAAATTTCCATACGTCGTACGACCTACAGGAAATAAAACGTTCATATAAGATTAAATTAATGAGTAGAGGCTGTAGCGGACACTGGGGGTGGGGACAACGTCCCTCCTCAAATAATTTCCGAAAAACTTTAATTGATAGCTGAATAACAGCGTGACAAAGCTGTGACAATTATTTTTCTATTTACAGCTTACTATATATTGCATGAAAGTTAAGGCAAAAAGTTTAAAGAACTAAGATCTTACGTACGAAATACGGCGACGATTGCACACTATAGTTAGGTTTCACTAAGCATGCACCGTCGTGCAGTAAATGGTGTTCAACCAACAATTATCAAGTGAGAAAGTGATGTTTTACAATAATTATTTTCGTTATATGTTGTAGTCTTGTAATCGATGGCAAGTGACTAAGAGAAATAAGGGTTACTTTCTCCTGTATGTACATGTTCCAGACGACCTCTGAATTTTGGCCGCTCTCTGCTCCCATATTACCCTTACTGGAACCAACCTATTGACGATGTTTCACAAACCTTGGTGATGATTTCAAGAACGAATCAAGACATATATTTATGGATTTATTGAAGATCACCTAAAAGCAAACCAATGAAAATTCAATTTATATATACACTAAGCTGTACTGAATACAAGAGTATGTATAGGCAACCTCGTTCCCAGTCTCTTTGCTCTTGTGAAGCAAAGCCCTGGTCGGGGCTGGTCACGTGACCCCGCAGTTTCTGCGTGGTAAATTGAATTGATCTCAGGGAGGGGTGGTAGAGGAGTCTGTTTGTTACGTTTGGAAAATTTCAATTTTATGTGTTATAGTTTCGGGTAATAAAAATGTAATTTGCAACAAGAAATCGTGAAAGGAACAGTTTTAAATTCGTATTCATCATGACACAACTTCCTGCTATACTGAATGTCATCAATAATAAGTGTTGCGGTACATTTCAAGCAAGAAGCTGGATCATATTTCACTTCCAAGGACTCCACACGCGCCTGGCTTGCGAAGTTGAGCACGCATCGCCGTAGAAACATATATGTCTTCCCAATTCTATACCGACTGATCGATCAAACGATACTAAATGAACGATATGGTTGCTTATGGTTGAAGTGTATCCTATCCGATATTCAACAAAGCCAAAGGATTTATTTTATAATGGAAGATTTCCCAAACATCGCTAACTGTGTGTGTAAACAATAGTGCTATCTTGACTGTGAAAGCACAGGATTAAAACCCGTTATGGACTGTAAAATTTCTTTCATTTACATTGCTGAAACTCAACGATCAAGAATGATTATGTCGAAGACTCGAAGTATAGCTATCTGTCATCAGACGAACACCGAGACTCCACTGTGCGTTTCCGTGCGTGCGGTACATATAACTTGAATATTTAGGACGATATATGCACCAGATTGCACCAGACACTGGTATTGTACTTCATAGTAAATTATTTCATATTTTATGTATTACAGTAATTTTAAATTATTAAAAACATTATAAACCTTATAAACATTAAAAACATTATAAACCTTATAAAGACCTTTCATTCCCATTGCCCATTCAGTGCTTTATATTTGAAGAATAACCCGACAGCTTCTTTCGACTTGTATAATGCTGCTGTGAGTCATCAATATTTAAATCAACTTTAAATAATCTTTATCGTATACTGTATAAATGACATTTTAGCAGTTTCACCAAACCATACTAGAGGCAAACAACCTATCTATCAATGGAAACTTTAAAAGGCTTATTAAAACTCATTAATTAAGTAATTCTATGAGCTGGACTTCGTGCGCATATATACAGTTTATGAATTATGTATATATATCCCTGATAAAACGTAGGGACACTTTATACCAGATATAATAAAAAATACTTTGCTAAACCTTTTCGGCTATCATTCCTTTGCATTCAAGGGGCGAGGGTGAATGGCTATATAATTCATATCGGAGATTCTGTGCAATCTGATTTAGTGATTTTGGCTTCAACAAACAGGTACTCGTGCAGACAAAAAAGGAAATGCATACAGTTGTGAATTGTCGTATAATTCTTTACTGTTGATCCCAAACAATTTTGTACATGTACGTTAACACTCCTTCCTACTTTGTGTTGAATATAAACGATGAGAACCTTTTTAAAAAAATCTAGAGCACTATGTCTATAAACCGTTTTAGAATCAATAGAATGGATATTCAATGTCTATTTGGCTAGTGTCCAAATATGTAACGTTTGCTGACAGTAGGGCCAACAAGGCGCTACGCCTACGACCTACACAGTCGCTTTTGAGACCTCTATTTAACAAAATTTATACCGTTTCCATATGACAACAATTCAGTGGCACATTATAAGAATATTATACGTATCTGAGCCAGATACAGAAACGTACGCGTGAAATGAAACTGCGCCCTAACCCCGCGAGACAATAAAAGGGCAAATATTTTCAAGCATATACGATCATACGTTTTCGTTGCTTGATTTTCTGACTTGTTTGTTGCTATAAGAATCTACAGTTTAGCATGTTTGTATAATTTAAAAGCAAACAGAAACCAATTTAGAAAGTATTTTGAAGTATATATGATTCTCAAAGATGATTGTATAGAACGGTCACTCCTTGCAATCGAAGTGTGAGGTGCGGAAGTGGAAACATGTAATTTGTAAATCCATCCCCCTCTTAGGTTATCAATTTTCTATGGGTCACGTGACCAGCCCCGACCAGGGTCTTTGCTTCACAAGAGCAAAGAGCCTGGGAAAGAGGTTGATGTATAGGTTGAATAATACAAGAGAATACTGTAGAGATCTGTAACTATGCATACATGATTCCAAAATCGAGAATGTGACTGACAAAGTAACCACTTCAGATCGTTGTTGATGAAATTCGCTCGATCTTCCCAGGCTTGTAGTTCTGTTTCATCTACATTATTGCACGTTTGTTTGAGAATATTCACATTCACAGGTACTGGGACATAACTGATAAACTCAATCTCTTCATTTTCAATCCATTTTGGATCCTTCAGAAAAAAGGTTTACAAAAATGTACTAGTTTTAAATCAGTTACCATGCGGAGGTGGTTAGGAATAAAAACTCAAGTATCTACATTTTATGATCTAGTTTGTAATTTTATAAATGCTTTACAGTTGCGAAAATGGAACATACTGTATGAGAGTTTGGTATGACTCAAAAAGTCTCAAATCTGCTGCCCTGTGCAGTACCATTGGTACAGGCCGCATAGCTCTCTGAGTTTACCTTTACGTAAAATAGACAATTTGTTGGAACTTGCCCTAAGCATTATGGTGTGTGTGTTTTTCTCCGGAAATTTAGGTTTTGTAACAAATTCAGGAGGCGTCTCCCTCCCCCGCTCCCTCAACCAGAAAAAGTGAAGGGGGTTTATGTACATTTTGGATGCGTATATGCTCGGATCATCATCAATGCAAAAATGTAGGATTTTGTTAATTTTTCAAAAAGTTGCGTACCGGAACAAAATTTCATTTACATGGTTTTGTACTATTGTACAGTACGTGAATTACTCGGCGTATGAACAAATGTTTTTCATATCCGGAAAGATCAGGCTTTTAGCTATTGAATGACATGTTTTTCATGCCAAGTGGAGAAGAAATAAGCAAGTACGAGTCCGATAAACAATGTTAGTCAGAATCGCATATTTTCACCTGTGCCTAATTAAAGCAGTGCATAACAAAATAAAAAGCAATTAATCACGAACTTGTCATAGCTTAGCTAAGATGTATTCCTTCTTGATAATAATTATGAATATGTGCGTAGTTTATTGACGTGAAATTCATCAACTTAATTAAGTCCTAAAGGGGGTTAATTTTCAATGGTTTTAGACCCAACTCTCAACGGTGAAAATATGCGATTCTGACTAACATTTTTTATCGGATTCGCATTTGCTTATTTGTTATCCATTTGACATGAAGAACATATCATTCAACAGCTAAAAGCCTGATCTTTCCGAATATGACAAAATCGGTCATACGCAGAGTAATTCAGATGCAATAGCGCGCTGAAGATCAATTACCTTTTTTTATACACCCTGTATAATCTACAGACTAATTGTTACGAAATAGTTTTGCCATAAAGGGCTAATACATATCTCATGAAGAAACTAAATTACATTGACAAAACTTAACAGAATTGCTTCACATACCAACAAAGGAAAAACTTGCGAGATTCCAGTGATTGTGTCATGATATGTATCAGATCTGATGTCCAGTGGTAAATTTTCTTCCTGTTCATAATCACAAATGATCAGTTTGAGACATGGGGCAGGTAATGAAGAAGATATGAAAAATTTAGAAATGAAGACAAAACATAGTCATAAGAGAGAACATGATATTATGAAGTGAAAGAGATCAAAGAAAGACATGGAGCGAAGAAGTTATGAAAGATTTAGAAATGAAGAGAGAACATGACTTATGAAGTGAAAGAGATGAAAGAAAGACATGGAGCGAGGTAATGAAGAAGATATGAAGGATTTAGAAATGAAGAGAGAACATGACTTATGAAGTGAAAGAGATGAAAGAAAGACATGGAGCGAGGTAATGAAGAAGTTATGAAAGATTAAGAAATGAAGAGAGAACATGACTTATGAAGTGAAAGAGATGAAAGAGACATGGAGACAAGGTAATGAAGAAGTTATGAAAGATTTAGAAATGAAGAGAGAACATGACTTATGAAGTGAAAGAGATCAAAGAAAGACATGGAACAAGGTAATGAAGAAGATATGAAAGATTTAGAAATGAAGAGAGAACATGAAGTCCTTATGAAGTGAAAGAGATCAAAGAAAGACAGGGAGCGAGGTAATGAAGAAGATATGAAAGATTAAGAAATGAAGAGAGAACATGACTTAAGAAGTGAAAGAGATGAAAGAAAGACATGGAGCAAGGCAATGAAGAAGTTATGAAAGATTTAGAAATGAAGAGAGAACATGACTTATGAAGGGAAAGAGATGAAAGAGACATGGAACAAGGTAATGAAGACATGGAAATACCTGGATCGTGTTGAGAAATTTTTAAAGCGAGCCTTTCAGTATGGCTACATGTCTAAAAATTATGTGTTGTCTGCTATAATTAGAGAGAGAGACAGAAAATTGTGGAATGTAATCTCGAATTTTCAGTGAATGTGAATACAAATCATATTCTAAATAAAAAGGAATTTTCAGTAGAATACAAATCATACACAACAACTCACAGTGTCTAAACATGGTAACCAGTAGCCTGCTCACAGACGCTTATATATGTCCGGAGCTGCAAGCAGGCTAAAACATACCTGGGTGGATAAAATAATTATTGAATGGGTTGTTCTAGTCAAAAAGATCCACCCTACCCCAAGTAGGAAATTTCTGCTGCCTGGAGGGGAAGGGGAATTAGGGGCTAGGGGCGGGGGGTTACAGTAACTTCCAATTTTGGAATTTCCTCCGCTGGGCGGTGGAGGTATGGATGTTCTGTGGAATGACCTAGTGGCAGTCACCCAATTAAATGGTTTTCAAATTATATCAAGAATTATCAAAGCCTTCGTCTGTGTTATCTGCTAAGGCTGAAGCCATATAGCAGGGTTAATTGATATTTCTCAATATGAAGCTCAACCTCATACATTGATGAATTCTTGACTTGCAATGATGTGGGCGACGGCCAAGTTTAATGAGATTCTTTGTTGAAAAGGGACCACTTCTTTTGAATTTGACACCAACATGGCCGCCGTGCCATTGTCTTCTAATTCTCAAGGGATTGATTGAAAGTCAAGAATAGTGGATTTAATATATAAATGAATACTGTTTGTATATAAATATAAATAGTCTGTTTATATATAAATGCAAACACAAGCTGTATATTTGCAAGTGATGAACCAGGCGGGAATCGTAATACTAAATATAAAAATTAATGCCCAGCATAACGCACGCAAAAGAGCCATATAGACAAGAATATAGACATAAAATTTATTTGAGAAGTACTAACGTTTCGTCTTTAACTTAAGACATCTTCAGAGTAAATGAATATATTAAATACTAAATCTTACTTTAAAAGCTGGCATTTTACATGCCCGTCTTCTTTGAAAATCTGCGATCTTTTTGGGAAAGTAAACTATTACATAAATACTGTTTTCACTTTTCAACTTTTCATTATTATTATCAGGTGATACAAAGGGACTACTCTGGATCGCAAGGGAAAATTATTGATCTCGGGGGATTTCTTAGGATTCTTGGGGTGTAGATTGCACATGCGCAGTGCGTGGTTCTTTCTTTTCTCTCGTTGATCAGAATGGTAAGATTGAATTTTACATGTGCTTCGAGATTTTACGTTTATTTCATTGTTTTGGATCGTTTTGCCCTGCTTTTTATTTCATTTCACCTGAATATATTCCTAAATTTTCATAATCTTTGACTAAACGAAGTAATATAGCCCTTTAAAATTGTGGAAATTGTGATTTCGTTGTGTCGTGTTTGCGACTAAAAATTTAATACCGTACATAATAAATTTCAATATCCGTAACCCCCTACCGAGGGGCTTGGAATTCTGCAGGGGTAAGGTGATTTTTAGCCCTCGAATTCTTCAGGGGTAAACAAATTCCAGGAAATCTCATTCAAAATATCACAGGAGAATTCGTATTTCCACAGGAGTGAAATATAAAAATTGAAATTCTTCATGGGCTAATGCTGATTATGCATCAGTCAAATCCAAGCGTGCCCATCCCCGGCTTTTGACAATTTTCGAAAATATGCGACAAATTCCTGGGGGCGGGGATAAAAAACACATGAAAATGCCCCGCAGCGGGGCAAAAAATCAGTAGCAAATCCCCCACCCCGGGGACAGCTGGACTGTTTGGCTAAGAAGGAGTAGGTTGTCCAACTACCTGAAAATAAAGAGAATACTTTGATTATTGGATACCTTTTTCAGAAAGCAGTATCAATTTCCCATGCATAATACAAAATGACTGAAAAATGGCAAACTTCGCAGGGCTATATTTAACCTGAGTATCAGGCCGTACTTTTTAGGGCACAGGCACGCCTGATCGTGGGCGAAGGGGAGAAAAGTACGGCCTGACACAAAAGTGGCATTTTGCCTGGTTGTTCAGTCCAGAATCTGGACTGAGCGCTGATTGGCCGATTAGACAAACGATTTTTAAATCTGTCATTTGATTGGCTGGTGCTAATTAGATTATACTATTGTTGTTGATATATTTTATAATTATAGCCGGCCAACTAAACGGCTGAATTTAAATTAAAACTGCAGTAAAATTAGAAAATAATCGCAAATTAGCGAAATATATTGCAAATGTAGCTTATATTAAATCGCCATCAGATTGCACTATCGACTGACGTATAGTTATAAAGTATATATATATACTTTATAATTATACGTCAGTTTGTTGATAAATACGGCAAGCGCCATGTAAAGCTCATTGTAGTCACTGAAACCTCTGCGGAGGAGAGAGCAATCGGGTGGCGATTTAATATAAGCTACATTTGCAATATATTTCGCTAATTTGTGATTATTTTTGTTAATTTTATAAGTTCATTGCAGTTTTAATTTAAGCCGTTTAGTGGGCTGCTATGCTATAATTAGATTGTTGTTGTCGTTGTGTAAAATTTAAATTTCTCCTGCGACATTTTGATTGGATACTAAATATAAACTTTGCTGTGGGCGGAAAGCGATCAGGTTAAGTTTTGTGTCAGGCTCTATTTGTAAAATAGAGCCTGATACTCAGGTTAGGCTATATTATCCGCATTTTACAACATTTCGCAACGAAACTTCGGAATATTACTAATTTTGTGATGCTCTTTCAAGCTGTGATGAAATTTTTGTCTAGACTTGTCTAGATCAAAATTTTGTTCATTAGGTAATAGGTCCATTGAACTGTTTTTAAAAAGATGGTTGAACTACAGTTTAAAACATCTATAGAACTATTTTTGGGAGATAGGTTCTGTATAAGGTTTAATTAGCCTTTCTCACGCCGCCATTTTTGGGTGGCATTTCACCTGAAGTCTGCAAGATAAGTCCACATAACAGCAACTTTTTATATTTTTTTTTTATAAATGATGGTAAATTTGCTTTGTAAATGGTTAGTTTATTTTGAAAAATTGGTTTTCACCTTGTTTTAATTGTCTGCATTTGTTAACGAGAATTGGATGCCACTAAAAAATGGCGGATATTCGTCATCGTGAGAAAGGCTAATTAAGAAAACAAGTGTAAGACATAATGAAAATAATTAAATAATGTGGACAATGTACTATAATTAATGAGTTAAATTGTTTCTCTTTCAGCCTCCCAAGAAGCAAGATTCAAAGACTGCATCAAAGCCCAAGAAAGATAAACCAGCTGGGTCTGGTGGTAAAGCTAAAAAGAAGGTAACCTTTGTTTCTGTTTGTCTACTCACTGGGCTTGCAAAATTTTCTTAACTATTTTCAAGCCCCCACCATAAAGCTTGCTCTTTTGTTTTCTGATTTTAAACTAACAAACTGACATTATTTTGCCTAGTTCAATATGGGCAACAAAAGTGCTGTAACTTGGCACAAAAGCTAATTTCTACACATGTTCACTAGATATGTTTATATATAACACATGAGACAACATACATAAGCATTTCAACTAAGCATGCATACTATGTTATTGAACTAAAGACTCTGTGAACCATTGGATCATCAAACCATATATAATTATAGATAGCGAAAACATAAAAGTTTTCTTGTACTGTTCTTGCATTGATACCTGATGTTATTCTGCTATAGTAGTTCAGTACTACTATGGTTTAATTAGAAGGTACAAGGTTTGACAACTTGATGCCTGAACTCTATTATAAGGTTTAATTAGAAGGTACAAGTTTGACAACTTGATGCCTGAATTCTATTTATGTCAGATGAAGCAGTAATATTGCTTTTTCATCTGTTTAAACTTTAACCCATTTTACAGTTGATTTCACATAACTATTAACTTTTCCCTAAATGTTGCAAACTTCGTTCCAAAGTTTGTTGCGAAGTTCATAATCATATTCACAAACCGTTTGTAAACAATGCATTTGATTTGGCTTCTTTTAGTCCAGGGGCCAATCAGAGGATTTGTTTACAATCCAGCTTGTAAATTTTAATATGAACTTTTGAACTTCACAACGAAGTTGGGAACGAAGTTTGCAACATTTGGGGAAACGTTATGTGAAATCGACTGAAACCTTACCCAATGGGTTACGCAAATGTATGGTAACCTTTTCTGTTAAATTCAAAACTATTTCTACAACAAATTATAAGCTACCAAATTGTGGACCTGGAACAGCCAACAAGCAATCGGGAATCTTTTCATACAACCAATCACTTTATAAATGTTGTTACAATTAAATTTGTGACCCAATTTTATGCTAACAACAAGGCCTGGCATTTTAATGTCATTGAATTCCAAAGGTCTTGTTCAAGTTATAAGATATTAAATCAAGTGTGCGTTATATCAAGGCAGATTATCAAAATGTTGATATTTGTCCACATGATAGGTTTATGACTGTAAAAGACTTAGTTTTCAATTTTTTCCTATTTCATTATTGTAGAAGTGGTCAAAAGGGAAAGTTCGTGACAAACTTAATAACTTGGTTCTGTTTGATAAAGCTACCTATGACAAGCTTTATAAAGAAGTGCCCAGTTACAAGTTGATCACTCCAGCTGTGGTTTCAGAACGTCTTAAGATCAGAGGATCCCTGGCTAGACGTGCATGTGATGAATTAATGAATAAAGGTTTGATCAAGCTGGTCTCGAAACATAATTCTCAAATTATCTACACCAGGGCGACCAAAGCTGCTACTGATGCTTCCTAGATCATGTCTTTGTGGATTTAATAATTAAAAATCATTATAAAAACTTTGTGTGTTTGTTTTCAACATTGCATTAGAGGGATTTACCTACAATCCCAAACGTTATCCCCTGTTCCATTCGAAGCTTTTATACTGTTATCAAAATAAAACGTTATTCCCCGTCCCTCTACTCTCTAGTCTACCTCGTAGCATCTCTTCACCTCGTACCATCTCTTGACCTTGTAGCATCTCTTGGTAACGTGCCACAAAACCTCTTTGGAACCTATTAGTATTTAGTGAAACCCATCGCCATGAGATCCTGCCTTGATATTCACATTTCCGACCTGTTAGTGTAGCAGATTTTAAGCTTCGCGTTTTCCTGTCAATTTCTCCCCAATTCCTTCACACTGTCTTCACTCGATTTCCCCTCTGTTCAACTGTTTTCAAGTGCGCTCAAAAAGTCAATTCTGCACTCAAGTCTTGCAAGTCCCCTTTTTTCCCTGCAGTTCCCCTCCCTTTCAACTCGTACAATGCAACTCCCATTGGCATTTGAGCAGTGTTTATTATATCATCTGCAATGTTCCCATCACGGTTGAAAACTAAACTGAGCACCCTCGATCGACTCGAATCGTCTTAGTTTTTGATCAAGACTTTCTCAAGCACTTTGAGTTCTACCTCGTCACCTTTATACAGTACCTCGATGATGATGATGATTTATACAGTACCTCTTTTCCTTTAAGATTATGTCGACTAAGGCCCGTTTCAAGCGTCGTGCTTCTCATGTCCTGAACGCATTACAAACAATAGATAATCAGTTGAGAAGCCTCATCTATTGTTAATGCGTTCGGCACATGAGAAGCACGAAGTTTGAAACGGGCCTAAATCACTTTACTACAATCATTTTGGATTTTCTTCCCTCAGAATTGAGCAGTCGGTTGTCATGGACAGTATCTATCTGATTCTTTCAATGCATCCAGTGTTTGGAATTTCTTGCAGCTATCTCACAAGCCTGTTTACTTTTCTACGCAGTCCACCTACTGTTATCTCTTTCAGTTACTCTCACTCTTCCCATAGTGGAAGCAACATGTTTCCTTGATATTCGTCATCTCTCTTTCATTCCTCTGCATTATGTCCTTCTAGTGCCTAAGCTAAATACCTAAAGTTAGGGACCGGGCATTAATTACAGGGGAGGGGGCTGGTGGAAAACGAGGGGGGTCGGGTATTTTCGTGCATGAAAAAAGGGGGAGGCAAAAATTTTTGTGCAATATAAATACCTGCCCCGCATGAC